AGTAAAAATTAACTAAGCTTGTGTATGAATTGTTCTTGGCACATATATTCAACGAATGGTAGTGGCTAGAAAATATCTTCCACAGTATAGGTAATATGGTCAACATTTATAGCTACTTCCCTTCTTTCCTAGAACGGGAGAGAGGTGTAATGAGTAACGTCCAGAGGTAGTCTGAGGGCTTTGACTCTCTGAGGGGTGCAAACACAACTTGCCATTTTGGAATTGAAATAGGTCCAGTTTTGTAGGTTTTGGCCACTTATGTCTCCTCTAGTAATGAAATAATTGATGTTAAAAGAAGTCAGACACTGTGTTTTCAATGTTTCTTTCTTTCAAGAAGAATTCCCTCCTTAAGATTTATCTAGATGAAGGAACTCAAATTTACCAGCAATAAAATCTCTTCTTTTATTGCAACTGAAAATTAAGATAACTGAATTTTCAGCTTTATTTTCTCATTTTTTGTTTGTTCTTATTTTACAAAAATTGAGTAATGAGAATGTTGGGATTATTAAATAAGAGATGGCAATTGTTCATTTACATATTTATTAGAAAGTAGAAAGGTTCGTGAAAATATAAATAAAGTCTGGGAATTTCTAAAGATAACGCCACCTCCGTATTTCTTTTTTTTTTTTTTTTGAGGAAATGATTTTTGTCTATTCCAAACAATGACGCTTAACACAATTGAAAGTTGGCACATTTTTGGTAAACAGCATTTTCCTGGTAGTATGAAGTCTAATGTGTATTTCTTTTGAGCCAGATTTCTCAGTATCATTTTGATCTGTAAAACATCAAAGTTTCCTCTATAGTATTATATTTACATCTTTGGGGAGTCTGGACAGAAAGGAATTTTTATTTTAAAGATTAATGAACAATAAAAAATGTCAAAATCTTTATTGCAATATTTGGAATTATGACTGACTACAAGAAAAAACACATGGCAGATTACACATAGTAGACATGTAACTTGACTTTGGAATCCCCAGAAGATGTATTCTCAGACATTTAAAAGAAAAGAGCCTAAAAATGGTAAAAAAGCAAACAAATAAGCCATTTATTCAATTTCTGAATTATGTAGCCAAAGAGAACATTTAAAACTTCAACCACCCATTTGTGTGAATTATTAACAAAATTCTGGCTTTTAACAGATCCACTTGGCTCTTCTATGGAGACTGTCCAATCTGAGAATGGTACCAATGAGTTAGCTCCTAGGATGATTGTTGCACTTGAAAAAGAAAGAATTAGATGGGTTCTATCCTCTGCAAACTTGGAATGGAGAGCTCTGAGCATTGCCAGTGAACCAGCTCTGTGCCACTTTGAGATACATGCTTGACTCATACAGCAGTTCTGGTAGGAAAACAACCGTGGTCTTGTAAATGGAGAAGGGCAACCGCCTGCTGGGACTTTGCATATNATGTAGCCAAAGAGAACATTTAAAACTTCAACCACCCATTTGTGTGAATTATTAACAAAATTCTGGCTTTTAACAGATCCACTTGGCTCTTCTATGGAGACTGTCCAATCTGAGAATGGTACCAATGAGTTAGCTCCTAGGATGATTGTTGCACTTGAAAAAGAAAGAATTAGATGGGTTCTATCCTCTGCAAACTTGGAATGGAGAGCTCTGAGCATTGCCAGTGAACCAGCTCTGTGCCACTTTGAGATACATGCTTGACTCATACAGCAGTTCTGGTAGGAAAACAACCGTGGTCTTGTAAATGGAGAAGGGCAACCGCCTGCTGGGACTTTGCATATTTCCAGTTGCTCATCCTGTCCCTATTGGATCTCTGCCCTCTTCATGACTAGGACAAAAATATTTTAACATTCTTCATGTTCTCAAATTTAAAGTATTACCATTTCCAATATTTTAGTTTCACCTTCATATTTTACTTTTTTAGTTTGCTATTACTTCTTACATTGGAATCCTTCTGTTCTGAATTCAATCTTTTTCATTCTGTTATACCCCCTCAAGTTCCTTTGGTAAGATTCTGTTGGTGGTAAATTCTTTAATTTTTGTTTGTTTGAAAATGTCTTTCTTTCACCCTTGTTTCTGTGTGATAGATTTGCTGGTATTAAGTTCTGAGTTGTCGGTTGTTTCCTTTCGGTCCTCTGTAGGTATTATTTTACTGATTTTTGGCTTCAGTTGTTGCTATTGAGGAGTCTTTTGTTAATTACTCTGGTTAAAATAATCTCTTTGGCTTTTTCAGCTTCATAGATGTGTCTAGCTGTAAATTCATTTTTACTCATACAGCCAGAATTTATTGTGTTTTTCAAATCTCAGAGCTCATGTCTTCCATCAGTTTTGGAAGATCTCTAGCCATTATTTCTTCAAACATTACTTCTTTTCTCATATTCTCCCTTTTCTTCTTCTGAAACACCTACTAGACATGTATTGAACATCTAAATACCATCCTTTATGACTCTCAAACTTTTTTTACAGTTTTGGTCATTTTGATCTTCTAGGTAATTTCCTTAACTCTACATTCCAATCCACTAATTATTTATTCAGCTGTGTCCTGCTTGCTGTTAAACCTGTCTAATGAGATTTTTTTTTAATGGTCTATGTAATATTTATTTCTAGTACTCTTTGGTTTGTTTTTAAATATTTCTAGTCTTTTTTTGATAGCAACTTGTTTCTTTGTCAGGTTTTTAAATTTAATGTTTTGTGTGCCTAATTATTAAAAAATGTAGCCTATATTTATAATGTCTATTACTTTAATTTCTGTAGATCTGTTTTAACTATTTGTTGCTTCTTACATTTTTTTCTAATTGTGTTTTATTTAGTTCTGTGTCTCATAAATTGGATTTGTAAGTTCATGTTTGGGTGGGCTTTTTCTATAGAAATTCTGTGGGGTATATGCTGAGAATTACATGTCTAGATAGTTTTTTCCTGTTTCTGTAAAGTGCCACAGGGTGTTACTAACCCAGTGTTACTTTTTATGTTAATTACTCCACGTGGCATTCCCTCATTTTTAAATTCTGAGGTTTTTCATCTTTGAATACTTGAGAGCCTTTTTCTTTATTGTATAAGAAGGCCAGACTTAGATGAATTTTCTTTTATAGCCCTATTTTAGAAGTTGGATTTATTTTTGTGGCTCACTTTTTCACTGAAGGCATAGCCCTTGCAAGTGTTCACTTTATGGAAGGTCTCAGCTGCTACTCTTGGCTCCTGCAAGTCCAGGCTTTCTCTCTAGTTGTTGTATGTCCATTAAAACAAAAATAGCTCTTAATTTTCTGGTTTTATGTCTTTAATCATTTTTTGACCATTGGGATTTCCTTTACTTTCATGTTTTTCAATCAATGCTATGCATGCTATTTCACATATTACCCAGTATACTGGTTTTGTAGTGGGAGGTTTTTCAGGTTATCCAGTTGGCCATATTATGTAAGTTCTGTGCATAAATGAGTGCATGTATACATGCAGAAAATATACCCCTTAAACTTGAAGAATCTTTTCTACCATGTTTATGTCATGTTTATTAAACAACTGTGCACGAATTGTCAGTAGCTTAATAGGTTGACAAATTGATACTGAGTGTGAAACTGCTGAGAATACTAGGGGTTATTTTTATTGTGCCACCTCAGGCTTGTGTGTCAGATGCATAGAAATGTGTATCAGGTTCATAGAAACTTCATCCACTTGGCCAAAAATATACTATTTTTCCAGAATAAATTTCAGAAAAAATGCCTCATCTATGAAGCAAAAATGGAAGAAAACAGCAAACCATTTAAAACTTATAAGTTGCTGTTTTGTCAGCCTGGATTCTCTCAATTAGCAGCAGGATAATACTACACTCAAGAATTGAAATTCACCAAAGGAGCATAGAGGAAGCTCAGTTTTCTCAAATTCTTATTTTCATAGTCAAGCTTTGTTGTAATGATTTT